AGGAGAGGCAAAGTTTGGCAAACATGGAAACGGCAAAATTCCGCTTGGCAAAGCTCCAGCTCCTGTTGGAGTGGGGATTTCAGCTCGTTCCAGCTGATGCTGCAGCTGGAGTGGATAAAAGGGGATTGTTTAGCTGGAAAAGGACTGAAGGCTTTGTAAACACACAGAAAAAAATCCTCGGTCTTGGAGTTGGTCCCCATTTTTCAGGGAGTTTTTAATGTCACTTTTCTTTTTTACCCTCATTTTCTTTGCCATCACCACACCTTTGGGGCTGGAATCAGGATGCTCCTTGCAGGAATGCTGGAGTCAGGGGGCTCCTTGCAGAATAAATCTGAATTTTTTGTGGTTTTTTGGGGATTTTTTTTTGGTCTCTGCTGCAGATTTGTTGTTTTTCCCCAGGATTTCCCTGTGGGCCACGTGGAACATTCCCAAAAAACCTCCCCTGGGATTGAAGGGTCCCTCCAGGAGGAGCAGGAGGCTGACAAAACCTCGTGTTTGTCCCAGTTTTTGTTTGGATGTTTGCAGAGAGGGAAAGTTTGTTTCCCGTGAGCTCAAACAGCCCAAATATTATCCAAATATTTGGGTCTGATGGGGGAGAATCGTTCCCCTGCCCTGCTTGGAATTTCTGGGATTTATTTCAGCTCCCTCCAAGGGTGCTGGGAGGTTTTTGTGTTTTACCCAGGAATTGATCTTGCCCTGGTACCTGTGAGCTCCTCTCTCCTTGGGGCTGTTTGGGGCCCTTTCCTTTTTTTTGCATCCTGGGATAATTTGGGTTGGATTCCCTGCTGGAAATCCTTGGGTTGTGTCTGATGGAGCAGCTCGGGTTTGGGGTAAATCCAGAGGGATTTGTGTTTTTATGGAGGGGTTTGGGTGGGACTGGAGCTGTCTGGGCTCTGCTGCTGCTCTGGGGTTTTGTCCCCTGGCCCAGGCTTTGGGGACAAGGTGCTTTAGGGCAGGAGGGCTGGGTTTGGGGCAATCCCTGAGCTGAAAACCTGCAGCTCCTGCAGTCAGTTTCCCCAAGCTTGCAAAAGTCACAACTTGTGCTTCATTTCCCGGTAAAAGTGGTTTCAAACCCTGAGTTTTTCAGGTGATGTTTTGGCCCAGAGCTGTCTCTGGAGAGCTGGGCCAGGGCTTGGATCAGGGTTTGGGTTGGAATTGGATTGGGGTTTGGGTCAGGGTTTGGGTCAGGGCTTGGATGGGAATTGGATCAGGATTTGGGTCAGGGTTTGGATCAAGGTTTGGGTCAGGGTTTGGGTCAGGGTTTGGATTGGAATTGGATTATGGTTTGGGTCAGGGATTGGATCGGGGTTTGGGTCAGGTCTTGGATTAGAGTTTGGATCAGGGTTTGGATTGGAATTGGATCAGGGCTTGGGTCAGGGTTTGGGTCAGGGCACGGATTAGAGTTTGGATCAGGGTTTGGATTGGAATAGGATCAGGGCTTGGGTGCAGGGAGCTCGTGGGACTCTGGTGCAGAGCTCGGGGCAGCAGCAGCAGCGATGTTGGGCTGGGAGCAGCAAACCTTGACTCAGCATTCAGGGCAGTTCTGCTGAGTCATCCGGGCAGGCTCAGCAGGGAGCAGCTTTTTGCTGACTCCAAACCCCAAGTTCCCCGTTTCTGTCGGAAATGTGGCTCAAAACTGCTGGAACCCGGGGCAGCAGGAAGTGGGGGAGGTGGATTTTGGGGAAGTGGAGGGCTCAGCCCTGTCACCAGACCCTGGCACAGTTTGGGCTGTGATGACTCTGCAGCTGTGGCCACGGGATCTGCCCCGCTCCCAAATCCCTCCCGCCGGCCTGGGGACCCCCAGCACGGGGGGATTGGTTATGAGACCAGTGGGGGTCCCATGGGGGTCCCGGGATGGGAATCCAGCCTGTCCTGAGCAGGGAATGTGGGCAGGGGGGCAGCAGGTCCTGGCAGCTGCAGGGAGGGCTTGGGCAAGAGGGCTGTGGGGCTGTTGTGATGTCCCTGCTGTCACCTGGACAGGTGTCCTGCTCTTCCCAGCTGTTCTGGGGGGGTGGGCTGTGTTTTACCTGTCCACGGGGGCTGTTCTGATGTCCCTGCTGTCGCCTGGACAGGTGTCCTGCTCTTCCCAGCTGTTCTGGGGGGGTGGGCTGTGTTTTACCTGTCCACGGGGGCTGTTCTGATGTCCCTGCTGTCGCCTGGACAGGTGTCCTGCTCTTCCCAGCTGTTCTGGGGGGGTGGGCTGTGTTTTACCTGTCCACGGGGGCTGTTCTGATGTCCCTGCTGTCGCCTGGACAGGTGTCCTGGTGTTCCCAGCTGTTCCGGGGGGTTGGGCTGTGTTTTACCTGTCCACGGGTGCTGTTCTGATGTCCCTGCTGTCACCTGGACAGGTGTGCTGGCGCTCTGGGCCCTAATCACGCATGTGATGTACCTGCAGGATTACTGGAGGACCTGGTTAAAAGGGCTGAAGTTCTTCCTCTCCGTCGGGATCCTCTTCTCTGCCCTCTCCGGGCTGGGCTTCTGCGCCTTCCTGGCCCTGGCCATCACCCAGCACCAGTGTGAGTACTGGGAGGCACTGGGAATACTGGGGGGGTTGGGGACAGCAGGGCTGGGGGTGCTCCTGCCACCTCCTCTTTTGGGGACAGCCTGCAGGGATGTCACCGCATTTCCCTGCCCTGCTGTGACATCAAAACAACCTGGACTCGCCTCATTTCCATTACAAAGCCCCCCAAAAAAGCTGTGAATTTCTTCATTTCCATGACAAAACCCCGCCAAAAAAACTGTGATTTTCCTCATTTCCATGACAAAGCCCCCCAAAAATCTGGGAATTTCCTCATTTCCATGGCAAAGGTCTCGACCATCCCTCCTGGAGCAGCTCCAAGCCCAGAGCCTCGGTACTGACTCAGCATTCCCAGCTCCCAACCCCTGAACATTCCCTAAGGAATGGCTCCAAATCCCTGCCGCGATTTCCTTGGCCCCAGACCAAAGGGAGAACGTTTGGGGGTTGTTTTCTTGGAGGTTTTCTGCGTTTGTTTTTTGCTCAGAAGCCCCACGGGGTTGTCCTGGCGGGGGTGGAGAAGCTGTGTGGGGTCACAACCCAAAAAACATCCCTTGGCTCAGCCTGAAGAAACTCCCCGTGGAGTTTTCCTGCTGCAAAAGGATGAAAATCCACGTGTGAAATCCTTAAAAATACCGCTATGAAAGGAAAACCAAATATTTGCCATCCCCTGCTTTCTTGGAAAACTGTTTGGGGAGGAAATTGGGGATTTTAGGGAAAGTCTTATCCCCACAAGTTTTAGGGAAATCCAGGGGTCCCCACAATCTAGGGATCCTCACGATCCAGGAATCTCCTAAATCGAGGGACCCCCATGATCCAGGAATCCCTATGATCCAGGAATTCCCACAAATCCAGGAATCCCCACAATCCAGGAATTTCCACAAATCCCAGAATCTCCACAAATCCAGTAATTCCCACAAATCCAGGAATCCCCACAGCCCAGGAATCCCCACAAATCCAGTAATTCCCACAAATCCAGGAATCCCCACAGCCCAGGAATCTCCACAAATCCAGTAATTCCCACAAATCCAGGAATCCCCACAGCCCAGGAATCTCCACAAATCCAGGAATCCCCACAGCCCAGGAATCCCCACAGCCCAGGAATCCCCACAAATTCCTGAATTCCCACAGATCCCATCCCTGAGCCAGGCTAGCGCGGGGTGGGGCTGGGCAGAGCCGGGGAAACCATCCCATTCCCGTGGATTTCAGGGAACGCAGAGCTCCCAGGGGCTGGAATTCCCACCAAATCCCTGCTTTTTTCCCCCCTCAGCCCTGACTGACCCCAAGAGCTATTACCTGTCCTGTGTGTGGAGCTTCATGGCGCTCAAGTGGGCGCTGCTGCTGAGCCTCTACTCGCACCGGTACCGCGCCGAGTTCGCCGACATCAGCATCCTCAGCGACTTCTGAGCCTCCCAGAAAGGTGTGAGAGGCGTGGACACGGGGCAGGAGCCCCTCCCGGGGCTGGCTGCCTGTCTGTCCGTCCGTCTGTCCGCACACAGGGGCTTTTCCTGCTGGCTTTTCCTCACTCGTCGCTGCTGGTTCTGGGAGGAGGGAGGGAGGGAGGGAGGGGGGGGAAGGGCTCCCGGAGCACTCCGCGCTGCCAGAGGGGTGGCAGTCCCCACCCGTGTCACTGCCCTGCTCCTGGGTCACCTCTCTGCTCCGTGGGAAGGGCCCAGCTGAGCTCCCAGCCAGGTCCTGCCTCTCCAGGGCTTTGGGGGCAGCAGAGGAGCACAGCTCATCCCAAAGCTCATCCCAAAGCTCCCAGGCTGGGAATGCTGCTCCTGGGAGAGCACAGATCATCCCAAAGCTCATCCCAAAGCTCCCAGGGCTGGGAATGCTGCTCCTGACTGGTGAGCACAGCTCATCCCAAAGCTGCCAGGCTGGGAATGCTGCTCCTTAGAGAGCACAGATCATCCCAAAGCTCCTCCCAAAGCTGCCAGGCTGGGAATGCTGCTCCTGGGTGCGCACAGCTCATCCCAAAGCTCCCAGGCTGGGAATGCTGCTCCTGGGTGCGCACAGCTCATCCCAAAGCTCCCAGGCTGGGAATGCTGCTCCTGGGTGCGCACAGCTCATCCCAAAGCTCCCAGGCTGGGAATGCTGCTCCTGGGTGCGCACAGCTCATCCCAAAGCTCCCAGGCTGGGAATGCTGCTCCTGAGAGAGCACAGCTCATCCCAAAGCTCCCAGACTGGGAATACTGTCCCTGGCTAGTGAGCACAGCTCATCCCAAAGCTCCCAGGCTGGGAATGCTGCTCCTGGCAGAGCACAGCTCATCCCAAAGCTCATCCCAAAGCTGCCAGGCTGGGAATGCTGCTCCTGACTGGTGAGCACAGCTCATCCCAAAGCTCATCCCAAAGCTCCCAGGCTGGGAATGCTGCTCCTGGCAGAGCACAGCTCATCCCAAAGCTGCCAGGCTGGGAATGCTGCTCCTGGCAGAGCACAGCTCATCGCACAGCTCATCCCAAAGCTCCCAGGCTGGGAATGCTGCTCCTGGCAGAGCACAGCTCATCCCAAAGCTGCCAGGCTGGGAATGCTGCTCCTGGCAGAGCACAGCTCATCCCAAAGCTCATCCCAAAGCTGCCAGGCTGGGAATGCTGCTCCTGGCTGCTCCCCACGCTGGTTTTCAGAAGGAATGGGGTCCCGTGTTTAACCATTAGTGCTGTATTTAACGCTTGAAGTTGCAGCAGCAGGTGTGCGGGGAAAAGGTGCTTGGGGGAAAGGAGTGCAGGGCCAAGGTTTGACCTGCCTGAGCCTCAGGGAGAGGATTCCTGGGGAAAAAAAATAGGGAAAAAAAGTTTTTGTGGAAGCAGGAGGAGAGGGGAGGGGACGGGGGCTGCTCAGGAGACCCCATGGATTGAGGAGCACCTTTGGGGTGAGGCTGTGACGTGCTGGAGTCCCTAAACCCAGCCCCTGGGCCGTGTTCTAGCCTTGGAGTTCCCACCCCACATCCCAGCTTTTTAAAGGATGCTGTGTGTAAATATTCCCTCTATTTTTACATGGATTCCTCCTGGTTTGCACCTCGGGGGTGCCGGGGTCGGTGCCACCCTTGCTGTCACCCTGTGCCACCACAAATACAGCCCTCCCTCACCAGCCTGGCTGCACTGGAGTTCCCTGGGGTGCTGGGAAGGACGGGTGGGAATGGCACCTTTTGGGGTCATGGGGAGGGTTTAACCCCTCACTTCCTCACCCACACGGACTCTGAGGTGGATTTTTCCTTCTCAAATCCCTTGGGATTCGGGGATTTCAGCCCAGAGGGATTTTTGGGGAAGTGGTGGTGATTCCACCCCTTTTCCTTGGAAATGAGTGAGGGGCAGGGGGGCTTTGGGGTCAGCCCTGAGTTCCCATTCCCCACTGTGGGTTGGGGTCCAGGGGAGGGGACACTTTGGGGACACACTGGGGACACTCAGGGACCCCCCGGGTGCAGGGCCCGCAGGAGCCGCCAGAGGGCGGCAGTGGCACAGCCCGGGCTGGGGGGGGAGGGCGAACGAGACCCCAAAACCACCTGGGACACCCCAAAATCGGGGACATCCCCAAAACAGGGACACCCCTGTGCCCGGGGGCCACCGAAGAGCTCAGCGTGGCCCTGCAGGGGTGACCCAAGTCCCCACAAGGACCCAGCCCTGGGCTGAGGGAAGGATCCCAGCTGGAATTCCCATCCCCTGGCACTGGGACAGGGGTCCTGGTGGCTCCAGGAAGACTCAAATCCATCCCCTCGCCCTGACCCCTTCTCTCCCCACAGCCCCCACAAAGTCCCAGCCACCCTGTCCCATTCTCTGGCTGCACCAGCCTTTCCCAACCCCATTTTTCATGGAATTGCCCATTTTTCCCTCTGCAGCATTCCTCACTCCCTGGGGCTGGGCAGCCTGAGGAATCCTCAGGAACTGGGGAGCCTCTGCTGGATTTTGGGGGGTATTTAGGGTCATGAAGGGCCCCTGTGGCTCCCACTGTCACCAGCACCTCACTGAGACCCACTGGGGGGGTCTCAGCCCCTCCCCAGGGTCCGGCAGTGACCCCGATCCCACTTTTCCTGCCCGTGGAGGGATTCAAAGGCACCCGAAGGGAGCCACAGGTTTTTTGCATTTTCCCAATCTGCTCTCAAGATGTGGCGAGGGCGGAAGCGGCGCCTCAAAGGCTCCGGATGAGCCTCGTGGGGCTGGGGACCCTCCAGGTGGCTTTGGGGGGAGGGAGGTGCTGGGGACACTGTCCTTGTGTGCAGGGACACAGATCCCGGCCGGGTGTCCCCAGCGTGGCTCTGGGGCTGCAGCAGAGGGGTCCTGGGGCTTCCAGAGGGTGGTGCTGGCCTTGGGGACAGGCTGGGCTTGGGGACAGACCCGGAGGGACCTGCAGGAGGGTCTGGGCTTGGGGACAGACCTGGAGGGACCTGCAGGAGGGTCTGGGCTTGGGGACAGACCTGGAGGGACCTGCAGGAGGGTCTGGGCTTGGGGACAGACCTGGAGGGACCTGCAGGAGGGTCTGGGCTTGGGGACAGACCCAGAGGGACCTGCAGGAGGGTCTGGGCTTGGGGACAGACCTGGAGGGACCTGCAGGAGGGTCTGGGCTTGGGGACAGACCTGGAGGGACCTGCAGGAGGGTCTGGGCTTGGGGACAGACCGAGAGGGACCTGCAGGAGGGTCTGGGCTTGGGGACAGACCCGGAGGGACCTGCAGGAGGGTCTGGGCTTGGGGACAGACCTGGAGGGACCTGCAGGAGGGTCTGGGCTTGGGGACAGACCCAGAGGGACCTGCAGGTCGCTGTTCCCAGGGTAATCCTTTCCCTGGAAGTCTGTGCCATTCCCTGGGGGTGGGGGCTAGGAGGATGAAGTGCACAGGCACGGACAGGAGCGTGTCCCAAACCTTCCAGGACACGGGGATGTCACCACACGTGGTGTCCCTGCTCCCTGGACACGGCGCTGGATTTGCCCTTTGTTCCCCAGCTGGAAAAAATCAGCAAATCCCCCAAATTCCACCTCAGTCACAGCATCCTGAGGACCTGGAAGAGTCCCTGAGGAGGAGCTCGGGGCTGGAGCCAGGAATCCCAAAGGAGTGTCCTGGCTCCCAGGGGCCGTGTCCAGCTGGGAGGGTGCCGGACACACGGACACGAGCCCGGTCCTGCTGCCATTCCCAGGGAATCCTCGTGCTCCAGCCGGGCCTCGGGTGAGAAGCAGCTCTGGGATTAAAGATCCCTGAAGGATCTTAGGTTTTGGTGTCGGGATGAACTCACCGGAGCTGGGGGAGCTGGGACAGAGCCAGGGGCTGGGAGAGGGGGGAGAGCATCACACACAGAACTGGGAATGGTTATTTTTAGGACAATTCTCAGCTTGGAGAGCAACCAAAGGAATAAAACGGTTCAATATGGGCCCAGTGCTTAACGAGGAGCCTGAAAATCCCCAGGCTGGGATAGCTGGGAAGGGCCTTAGGGATGGGGTTTGGGGTTTGTGGAGAGCCCGAAGCAGCCAAGGCAGAGAGGTCATCGGGGGGTCCCGACCCCTCCGGGGGTCCCTCTGCTCCTTCCCAGCCTGGAGCTGGGCTGGAACCACTTCCCAGGGAAGGGTCACTGCTTCCCTTCCTCCTCAGCTGGGAGTGGGAGAGAAGGACGTGGGGAATGGGCTGGAATAATGACCAGGGGGAAGCAGCAGGCTGCTCCTCCTGCCTGTCCCTTGGGGTGCCTCTGCCTCACTTTTAAATGGCTTTTACCCCCCTGATAAACCCCAAAATCCATCCCTGCCAGCCCTCGGGAAACCCAAAATTCCACAAGACCCTGTGGTCCCCCTGAGAACCCCCAACCCCCACAACACTGGAACATTTCCCTTCTCTGTCCTGGAAAAAACCTTTTTATTCCTTTTATTCCTGGTGATGGAGGGGGTGAGGAGCTGGAGGATTCCCCTTCCCTGATAGAGAGGGATCAACCCTTTGGAAAACCGGGAGAGGAGGAGCCCCGGGGGCTCCATCCCTTCCTCCTCCACCTTTTCACAAACCCCAAAATTCAACTCCACATTCTGCAGCCCCGAAATCCTGGGAGCTTTGAGCTGCTTCCTAAACCCCATAAAGCCCAACAACTGGAGAGAAACCCAACCCCACCCCGGCCTCCCCCCGCCCGCTCCGTGCAGATCAAACGCCTTTTAATCGGAATAGAATTTCCTGGGACGAAATGAGGAAAATCTGTCGCTCGCATCCGCCCGGCAGCCGCTCCCCCGCCCCGGGCTCGTCCTGGAGGAGCTTTTCCCTCGCCGTCCCACTGCCCCTCATCCCCCCCAGCCCACGGAGCGTCCCGGGAGCCCCTCGGGGAGCCCGGAGCCGTCTCGGGCAGTCCCGGGAATCTGCTGCGGAGTCGCTCCGCACAGGCGGGCAGGAAATGGGCCCCTGCAGCCCCGCTCCGGAGCACCGGGAACTCGTTCCAGCCGCCGAGGGAGAGTTTTCCTTTCATCTGCGGCCAGGAGTCGAGCCGGGCCTTTCGTCTCTCCCCAGACACGGCTTTGAAGGCTCCGGGGGTGTCCCAGATGTGCTGCGGGGCTGCGAGGGGGTGGGGGCGGCTCTGGGATCGGGAGAGCTCTGGGAGAGTGGGGTCCTTCCCCTGCTGCTGCCAGGAACCCCCACCCTGGGTGGTCTGAGGGGCTGGGGACACCCTGGCCTTGGGGACGTCCGTGGGTGGTGGCTCTGGGCGTGGTTTGCAGCTCCAGGGGCTTTTCTGAGCCCCCTTTGGGCTCCAGTTTGGCCCAGCAGAGAGGCAGGAACCGGGGTCCCAGAACAATAATTCAGTGTTCCCCTGGGATGTGGTTCCATCCATGGATCCATCCATCCATCCATGGATCCATCCATCCATCCCTCCATCCATCCATCATCCATCCATCCATCCATCCATCCATCCATCCATCCCTCCATCCATCCATCCCTCCATCCCTCCTCTCCACAGCCCCACCCCACTCACAGGCTCTGCTGCTCATGGATAACATCCCAAGGAAAACTGGGATTTACTGCAGGTCCTCCAGTGTCTCCCTCTTCCCCTTGATGGAACCCAGCTCTGGTTGCCCCGGGATAAAAAAAAACCCCAAATTTTGTTTCCATTTTTGCTCTCTCCCAGTTGCCAACCCCAAATTCCCGCTGATTTGCCGTGAGCAGGAGCATGGGGGATGAGGTTGTGTGGGAGCAGCATCCGGGGTCTGCTCCATGGGGAAGATCTTCTGGGAAGGGACCCCGGGGGCAAATTCCCCCCCTGCCCTCCCAACACCGCCTTTCCCAGATTTTTCCAGAGGGTTTTTCCCTCCCGGATGGAACAGAACCCCCCACAAATGTTTGTCTGGTTGCTAAGGGCACTCCTGGACTCCTCTTTCCCACAAATTCTTGAGTGGGTGATGATTCCCACAAATTCCTGAGCTGATGCTCCACCAGAGGATCCCGTGGCTCAGCGTGGGGCAGGCCGAGGTCGGGATGGATTTTTTGGGATTTTTTTCTGGATCTGCCCCAGCTCCCTGCACACAAACCCCACTGATTTTCCCAAATCAAATTCCTTTTAAACTGAACAACCAGGTTCAGTGCACCAGGGGTGGAAAAAAAAAATCTAATTTTCTGGCTTTGTTGGGATTTTTATTGGGATTGGGAATCCTGTGCAGGAGAGAGTGGGGAGACAAAGAGAATGGATGCTCTCAGGGGGAAAAGGTGAGTGAAGGAAGGATGAGGAGACAGCTCGGATGCCTGGAATTGGAGTCAGAGGTGCCCAGGAGTTGGATGCTGGAGGATCCCAGGAGTTTTGATTCGCTCCCGAGGTGCAGAACAGGAGCTCCTGCTCCCTCCTCCCCGTTCCTTTCCTGGCCTGCAGAATCCCCTCACTCCCATTTCCTGGAATCCTTGTTTGTCCCCTCCTCAGCCCCTGGGGACCCCTCCCTGGGTGTCTCCAGGGTGACAAAGCAGGAGAGACCTGGAGGAAATGGGCAAAGCTCGTGGGGACCTTTTCTTCCCAGCAGGATCCTGCGGGATCCGCGGCAGATCCAGGCAGGATCCGGGATCGGTGCCGACCCAAGGGCAGCTCTGGGGGCCGGGAAAGGCTCGGAGGGGCCGAGCCGGGGCTGATCCAAACATTTCCAACATTCCCAACACTCCCAGCTCCATGCTGGGAGAGCTCAGGACAGTTCCTGGCAGCGAGACCCCCGATCCCAGCTTTGATGGCCAGATGGAGGAGAAAAGGGGGGAAGGAACTTTCACGTGTCGGAATTAAGTGGAACAGGATGGGCCCAGCCCGGGGATGGGGGACGGCACCCTCGGGGTCCCTCCCCCGCCTCACCCCGCGGCTCATCCCGACCCCATCCCGCAGGAAAACTCCGGGATCGCTCCCAGGAACCCCCTGCACCCCCCGGGACCCCCTGACCCCCGTTGTGCCTCCACCTCCGAGTTCTGACAGATCCCGGCGCGTTCCGGGAGCGTGAGGTCACCGCGGCGGGGAAGAGGATCGCGGGGCCATCCATCAGCCCGGGATCAAAGCGCCGCGGGTTCCCCTTCCCAGCGCCATCCCAGCGCCCCAAATTCCCCGCGGTTGCCGCGGCAACCGCACGCGGCGCGGATGCTCCGCGTTTTTTGGCCGCCCCGCAGCTGTTTCCACTCGAGGCCGCCGTAACTGGAAAAACCTGCGGGTCTCAAGGCGCTTCCCGGCCTCCAGGGGCAGCGGCTATTCCCGGCTCCCTTTCATCTTCCCCATTTATCAGCCTCATCCTCTTTTTTTTTTTGGTTTCTTTTTTTTTTTCTTCTTCACACGGGATGAAACGGGGATTATTTTTGTCCTCTGGAACAAAGAAAAGGAGCTCGGAAGGAAAATCTCAAAACAAAGCAAAACAAAACCCTCTGAGAGCACCAAACGCTTCCCCAGCACTGCCAGAGCCACCCTGACCATGTCCCCAAGTGCCACCTCCACTTTGAAATCCCCCCAGGAATGGAGATGCCACCCCTGCCCTGGGCTGGAGGGTCCTGCCCAGGAGGAATTTTCCAGATGTCCAACCTAAACCCTTGGTGGCACCACTCGAGGCTGTTTCCTGCTGTCCTGCCCCTTGTCCCCTGGGAGGAGATTCCCCCAAAAAACCCCCAAAATCCTCCTGGGGGGTGATGGATGTGAGGGGGTGGGGGGAAACCAGGAGGGGATGTGTTCAGAGGGGCCAGGAATTGGTGGGAATTGGGAATTCAAACCTTCCATCCAGTGACTTCTCCCTGAGTCAAGTGAGCTGGGCTTGGCTCAGTTGTTTTTTGTTTTTTTTTTTCTTTAAGGCTTGAAATTTTCCCTGATGTGTCAAAAGCAGCACCAGAAAAACCCCCAGCGAGCTGGAGGAGTTATTGAAACCACTTTGGTGCCTCGTGACCTTTCCATGAGAAGTTTGGATGAATATCCTCCCAAAAAAACACTCACTGAAAGAACAAATTGAAATGTTTGAGGGAAAAGCCACAAACCCTCCAAATGTGGGGACAAAAGCCCCTTGGGGTGTGGGGCTGCTCCTTCCTGCACTTCAAAGCTCATTGTGTTCCTCCCTTGGCTCCAGGATCCCAGCCCCGATCCCAAACCTCCCCTCCCCCGGCCAGAACCCTTCTCCTGGTGAAATTCAATTCAATTTTATTTTCTTTTAAAAGGAAAACAATACAAAAAAAAAGAATTCATTAAGGAATAAAGGCCAGGCACAGGCTGAGCCTCAGCTGGAGCTGGTGGCAGTTCCCCAGCCCTCTGCAGCGCTGCTGGAGCAGAGGCTCCAGATCCGGCCCCAATCCTCTCCTGGGGGATTCCCAGAGAGGTCCTGCCCTTCCCCTTCCCCTTCGTGTTCCCCTTCCTCTTCCATTTCCTATTCCTATTCCTCTTCCACCCAGGAGCCACTGGATTTACTCTACAGGAATTTGGTGATGGATGGGGGTGATGAGGGATGCCAGGAATGGAGGTAAGGAATTTGGTGATGGATGGGGGTGATAAGGGATGCCAGGAATGGAGGTAGGGGAAGGATGGATGGATGGATGGATGGATGGATGGATGGATGGATGGATGGATGGACAAATGGACACAAGCTCATTTTGACCAAAGCCTTTCCTCAAGAGCCCTACGGATGCCGATCTCCCTTCGGTTTCTTCTTCCTTTGGATTTTGGGAGTTCCTGACCCGCTCATCGCAACCCCTGTGGCTCCACATCCCCGCCTGGCTCCCTCACAGGTGAAAGTCTCCTCCTCCACCCCAAACAAGGCGATATTTCTTTGTGGGGTCAACTGGGTTGAAAAACCATTTTCAAAACCCCCCAAAGCCGCCGCTGAGCTCCATGGCTGGGGCTCCCTTGGCACCGAGAACGTCCCTGACATCCGGGCGGCAGCCGGAGCATCTGTGCCGGAGGGCTCGGGGTGGCGGTGGGGAGGGAGAGAGGAAATCTGGAACCCATAAGCTCCAGAGCCGCCGGCGTTCCCCTGCATTGGTCTGCGCCTGGTCCGCCCCCGCCCCGCTCGCCCTATCAGCAGGAGCCGTTCCCGAAGTCATCCCAGCGCCCTCCTCTCCTGGCCCAAAGGAGAAGCCAAGGAGCTCCTCGGAGGGCTCTGCGGGGCTTGGGGCGCCCGGGGAGCCCCGAGGGCGAACGCTCCGGGCCGCGCCTCGGGAGCCCAGGGAGCCGAGGAGATGAAGGAGGAAAACCTTTCCCCGGAGTCCCCCGAGGGCAGCGCGGCCACCAGCGAGGACGAGGCCGAGCGGCCTCCCAGGAAAAGCGGCCGCAAGCGCGGGCAGGGCCCCGGCGGAGCCCCCTCGCCGCAGGGCAAGCGCGGCCGGCGCAGTCCGGCCCCGCAGCCCCCCGAGGACGCCCACGCCCAGCGCGTCATCGCCAACGTGCGGGAGCGCCAGCGCACCCAGTCCCTCAACGACGCCTTCGCCGAGCTGCGCAAGATCATCCCCACGCTGCCCTCGGACAAGCTCAGCAAGATCCAGACGCTCAAGTTGGCCGCTCGCTACATCGACTTCCTGTGCCAGGTGCTGCAGAGCGACGAGCTGGACCACAAGGTCGCCACCAGCTGCAACTTCCTGGCCCACGAGAGGCTGAGCTACGCCTTCTCCGTGTGGAGGATGGAGGGCGCCTGGTCCATGTCGGCGTCCCACTGAGCCGGGTACGTGTGGCCGCGTCGCCGCCGTGTCCCCGCGGTCTCCAGGCGCGTCCCAGCCCGATCCCGCCGGGAATGGCGGCCGCCCCTCCTGGCGCTCCAAGGATGAGGGGTTTGTCCCCCGAGCGGGAGGAGGTGGCGGTTCCTGAGCTGCTCTGGAGCGGCTGATCTCACTCAGCAGGGGTGGGAAAGGTTCAAAAGGGGGTTTTAAAAATCTGGTTTATTCCCAAACCCTGTCCTGGCCTTGTTGGGGCTGCTGAGGTGTCAACCCCGCCCTGCCCTGGGGTGGCCTCGTGTCCTCCAGCCTGCCTGGCTTCCCCCTGTTCCTCTCCCAGAGCTCTGCAGACAGGATGGGATCCGTGATCCCGTTGGATCCACGGGAATCCTGCGCTGCGTGGGGAAGTCTGACAGACTCAGCTCCATCCTCAGCGTCCCTCAGGATGCTGAGAGGGGAATAATCCAAAATTCAGAGTTTTAGGGCTGGGAGGAATCGGGAACGGGAGGAGCGGGGTCGATGAGGCACCGGCACTTCCCGCAGAGCAGGAGCAGAAAGTTCCAGAGGACATTCCCAAGCCAGGAGCTCATGAGGGGGATCCCTCATGGGACCCCGGCTCCCGAGAGGCTCCACTGTCCCCAGACAGGACCAGGGCTCCTCCTGCCTCTCCTCGGGCACTGAACATCCCCAAATTCGAGGTCGCGGAGGTGCCGGCGCTGCCTCAGGGTGCCGAGCGTCTCCCAGGGGATTTCCCTTCAGGATGGGCCACGTTGAAACTCCCTTTCCCAGCCAGATCCCTCTCAGCCAGCGGGAAATCTGACACTTCGCTAAAGTCATGTGTAAATACCAGTTTTTAGGGACAGACCCTCTTGTTTCAGACATTAAATCCTCTCCTTGCCAGGTCACCTCCCCTCGGGGCCGGCCAGAGGAGGAGTGGGTGGCCCTTTGTCCTCACTTTGGGATGCCCAAAATCCGCCAGGACCTGTCGGGGTGCTGAGCCCCCCATTCCCCCCCGGACCCCTCACCCTCTTCTGGGCACCCCCTTCTGGGTTTGGCACTTTGGGGTTGGATTCTCCAGTTTTGGGGGTGTTGTGGGGGCTCTCCCCAAAGACAGGGAAGCTGCTCGGCTTCATCCCGAATTTTGCAAAGCCTGAATAAAATCCCTTTGCCCTGGGGAGGTGGGGGAGGCTGAGCCCCCTCCCCAGCACCCCCAGACCCATTTCTGCTCCCTCTGTGTGCAGAACGCGACGCGGCTCCCAGAGCTGTTTATTTAAACCGAGTTCTTGGCAGAACTGAGGGGTAAACAGAGGGATTAAAGACCCTCCAGTCACTTTGGAGAGCTCCCGTGAGCGCAGCCGGATCATCATTCCCTTCCAAATCCACCCCGTGAGCCTGCATCCACCAGCTGGGGGGACTCGCCCTCCCCGGGCCAGCCTGCGGCGTTTTGGGGTCCCGGTGAACAATCCCAGCCGGGCAAGGAGGGAGAGGAAGGGGGGATTCTCCCAAAAAACCCCAAAACCAGGGAAGAGCCGCGGGGAAAGCGGTGCCGGGCTGGGGAGGCTCTGTCTCCCTCCTGGAGGGGGGGAACGAACGCGGTGGGGTTGGGATTTCCTAATGGAAAGCAGCCCCTGGATGGTGGAACTCAGCTATTAAATATCAAAGCGGGCTGGAAAAGCTGGATGTGCCCTGGTTAACCGGGAGACATCAGCCGGGGAAAAAGAGGGATGGAGCCCTCAGGCAACAGAAATCACGTTTGAAGTTCCCCCAGCTCGGCTTTTCTCGGCAGAGTCTTGAGCACATTAAAATGGTTTCTTTCCCTGCCCGAGGAGAAAATGAGGCTGGAAGCTGGAAGTGCCGGGGGGAGAGGCCGGGAGCTGATGTTCCTTGCCCTTCATTTGTCTCCTGGATTTATCGCCTCTCTCGCGTTGCCCTCACTTAATTGTCTCTCCTGAAAGACCTTGGATAAATCTTCCCTTTGGGGACTGTTGCTCTCGCCTGGAATCGGCTTTGTCTGGCGGCTGCTTCATTTGCTTTTATTTATAAACACCTCTCGCTGCTCCGGGGCGCTGGGGGAGCTCGGGAACAGCTCCCATCCCTGTTCCCTATTATTATTTCCCCGCTCAGGAAATCCATCTCGAGCTGCTTTAGAATCCCCCGGGTCCCTCTGCGACCCGGCAGGAGAGCAGGGATCCCTTCCCACCCCAAATCAGTCCCTTAAAAGTGGATCCAGCCCCTGGTTGAAGTGCTCAGGGTGGTCCAGGACCCCCAGTTTGGGGCTGGGCTCTCAGGAGAGGTGAGAGGAGCTGCCGAAATCCCGGGAAATCTGTTCCTGGGTGATTTGGTGCTCCTGGGATTTCCTCCTGGAGCAGAGCAGGTTTGGAGGTCACAGGATTCCCCAAAATCTGCTCTTCCCAGAGCCGCTGTTTTCACTCGGGGTGCAAGGGTAGGTGTTGGAGGGGCAGGAGGAGCCGCCCGGGTGAGGGATGTGGGACATTCCCCAAAATCCCCCAGATTGTCACAGCCACGACCAGAGCTGCTGGGCTCGTTTTTCCAGAAAAAAAAAAAAAAAAAAAAACCTCCACATTTTCATTAAAAATAGAAAAAAAAAACAAAAAAAAAACACCCAGGGGAACTGAGCTGCTCTCCATGGCAGAGTCCCCACACTGCTGAGGATTAGTTAAAATTAATCCAGACATGAAATCACGGATCCAGCCCTGGGGAATGAGGAAATATCTCCGGGTTTATGGCCCCTGCAAGGAGCCGGAGCTCGCCGGAGCTGCCTCGGCCCCGGGAGCGCCTCTGGAACGAGCCCGTTTTTCATCCCGGCTGTCAGGGAAGGCTCCCGGCAGCGGAGGGGGAGCTCGGAGCTCGGCACCGCCCGTGCCCGGCCTCAGCTCCCGCTGCTCCGGGCTCACAAAGGCGGGGATGCTGAGGGAGGGTGAGGAGGGAGATCCGTGAGCTTCTTCATCCCAAATCCTGCAGCGCCGGGCTCCTCCCGCATCCCTGGAATCCCCCGTGAGGGTTTTTTGGTGTTAAACCTTGTCCAACCCTCTGGAGGATCCCGAAATCCCGGCGGAAAGGTGGTTTTTTTGGATCAGACCTCGCTGGGCTCAGGGAGCTGATCCGTTTTTCCGTGGCTGGGTTGAGATGCTCCCGCCCGGCCGTGACTCCGGAATTTTGGCTGCCCGTTGCCCTCGTGCCCCTGGATGTGCCGTCACCCATCCCAAGGGCTCACACACCGGCCTTTGGGGGGTTTTCCCCTCTGTCCCCCACCCCTGGCACGACTCCTGGGGGTGAATTCCTGGAGGATTTCATTTATCCCTCCCCAGGCTCCTCTCCAGAGAGGGGAAGCTCTGGCTGAGCAGGAAACAGCCGGAGACAAAGCGGGAGGGGATGGAATAAAGCTGGAATAAAGCTGGAATAAACCTTGGGGTGCCGGGGCTGGGATCCCACAGGGATCCATCCCGGAGCCGATTCCTGCTCCATCCTCCAGCCTGGCTCCACCAGCCCCGCCCGGCCTCGGCTCCGGGAGGGCTCCCGAGGGGCTGCCCGAGATCCCACCTGCGGGAAAAGCCGGGATTGGGGTGGTTTTAGTGCCCAGCTCAGCTGTGGGGACGTTTCCCGGCACATCCCTCGCGGCTCTGGGAAATCCGGGAATGCGGAATGCCGGGCTCCAGAGCTCCAGAGGCAGCGGAAGAGCGGCTCTGCCCCCGCTGGCTCCAGGGCATGGATTTGTAGGATTTTGGGAAGCCCAGCCCATCCTGACCCCACTGTCTCCCTCCAGGCCATGGATTTGTAGGATTTTGGGAAGCCGATCCCATCCTGACCCCACCGTCTCCCTCCAGGGCATGGATTTGTAGGATTTTGGGAAGCCCAGCCCATCCTGACCCCGCTGTCTCCCCCCAGGTCTCCGCCTCGATGGAAGCAGCTCCAGCACCCAAAACCCCACGGGAGCCTCCCTGGAGAGAGGAGGGAACGAGCCCCAGACCCCCGACAGCCCCAGGGACCCCAAAAACTTTAGGAACGAGCGCGAGGGAGCCGCAGCAGGAGCTGCTTTGGGCTGGTTCGGGGCTGTGATTTATTTTGGGCTCGCAGGTAAGGAACGGATTGATCCCAATTCCCTCCTCCGGGACTGCCGGGAAGCCGAGCCCTTCCCCGAGCAGGAAAATTCCTCCAGGATGAGGGGAGAGGGACGGGCTGGAGCCCCCCAAGGAGCCCTCCCTGGACCTCGGGGGTCGCCCCCTCTGTCATCCCGCTCCGAAGGCTCCATGGGACGTTCCCGTGGATGAGGATCCGGGGGGATTTGGGGGCTGCTGACCCCCCCCAGGCACCCCCAGCCACTCCTGCCCTGCAGATGGAGCCTCATGAACCCCTTGGTGGAACCTCCCAATTCCTTGGGATTTACTGGAATCGAGGCTGGAGACGGAGCCGCCGGGAATTTTGGGGATTTTGGGGCCGTTTTGGGAACTCTGAGGGGGTTTGGGCTCTTTTGGGGGCGCAGAGAGGGCGGGGAAAGGAACAATGGAGGTGTTGGGGTGACCAAAACGACCCCAATAAAGCCCAGGGGGAATTTTCCAGGGTTCAATCCTTGTTTTTCCTATGGAAACGGTGCTGCCGGGTCCCCCCTGCACCTCCCTCGGCTGGGCTGCTTTTATTGGAATCAGGCAAAAAAAAAAATCAGGTTTTTTTGCCTGTAATGGCAGAAAAAAGAGGGGGAAAATCCCTTCCAGGGAGGCTGCACAGGCCTGAGCTCCCAAATATTCCATGGGAGAGGAATTTCTGTTGTGATCCTCCACGGAGGAGCCACAGGAAGGCCCAGAGTGACTTTTTCTACCCAATTCCCTATTTTTACGTGCAGTGGGAGTGGATTCCCTGCTCCGGGGAGTCGATTGCAGCCTTCAAAGAACTCTGGAGGTGCTTAAAAAACTGAAAATTCCATTAAAAACTCCATGTGGTGGCTTCGTTCAGTGCCTCACAGGAAGGATTTTACAGCTGAGAAACAAAATCGGCTTCAGAAGTTAAAACCTTCTTTCCAAAAAGAATAAATTGTGCTTGAAAAATAAAGGGCAAAAACCTATCTGTGGAGTGAGACTCCAGTTTCCAACCAATTTTTTTTTTTTTTCAAAAGGTGAAATATATTTTTCAAAAATATTTTCAAGTATTTTGGTGCATCTTGTTTGTTTAAAAAATAAATCCCTGCATTTTAAACGAGCCAAAAAATTTTAAAACGAGCCAAAACCCCTTAAAACGAGGAAAACATCATCCTAGTGACCCTTCTGACCCATTTTTGGGGGGAGAAACCCACAAAAAAATCTGTGAGTGGTGGATTCCTCCCGGTAAATTCCAGCAGGATGGAGCTTGGGAAGTCCCTCCATCCCCCCCCACCCCGAGACCCCCACCCAGAGACCCCCACTCTGAACCACACCAAGGGGTTTGATTCCTTTTTTTTTTTTCTTTTAAAACTTCATTTTTGTTTTTGTTTTGTTTTGTTTTTATACAAAATCTCCTCCCGCCGCCGCGGCCGGAGCTGTGTCCCCTCTGTCCCCAGAGCCAGGACAGGGCCTGGCCCTGCTGGGAGCCCCTCGGGCTGCAGGGAAGGCTTTTGGGGAAAAGGGAAATCGGGGTGGAACCCTCGGGTTGGAGGCTCTGGATCTGCCCCTGTCACCCCAGGATAGGGACGGGGACAGGGACGGGACCGAGGGGGTTTGGGCATCCCTGGGGGTCCCCAGAGGGAATTGGGGAGCATCAGCTGGGGAGGGGCTCAGGGGTTGGACCCACACCCAGCCAGGGTCTCGGGGGGCTGGAAGGGCTCGAGGCACCTCGGCAGGAGGGGAAGGTTCCCAAAATTCCACCCGGGAAGAGGAGTCGGGGTCACAGCAGGGCTGGCAGGGTCCTTAGTGCAAACGGGGCAGCGAGGGCAGAGGGACCCCCGGGCACTGCCCACGCTCCAGCCTCGCTGGCAGTGCCCCAAACCTTCCTCGGGGGGCTCCAAACCTTCCTGGGAGTGCCCCAGACCTTCCTGGGGGGGCTCCAAACCTTCCTTGGGGAGCTCCAAATCTTCCTTGGGGGGCTCCAAACCTTCCTTGGGAGGCTCCAAACCTTCCTTGGAGTGCCCCAAACCTTCCTTGGGGGGCTCCGAATCTTCCTGGGGGGGCTCCAAACCTTCCTTGGGAGGGGCTCCGAATCTTCCTTGGGGGGCTCCAAACCTTCCTTGGGAGGCTCCAAACCTTCCTTGGGAGGCTCCAAACCTTCCTTGGAGTGCCCCAAACCTTCCTTGGGAGGCTCCGAATCTTCCTTGGGGGGCTCCAAACCTTCCTTGGGGGGCTGCAAATCTTCCTTGGAGTGCCCCAAACCTTCCTTGGGGGGGGGCTCCAAATCTTCCTTGGGGGGCTCCAAGCTGTCCTTGGGAGGCTTCAAATATTCCTTGGGATGCCCCAAACCCCAGGAGGCTCCAAACTTTCCTTGGGGAGCTCCAAATCTTCTTTGGGATGCCCCAAACCTTCCTGGGGACGCTCCCGAGCTCCCGTCCCCGTCCCTGCCGCTCCATCCCCGTGGCCCAGCAGGGCGAGGGGAGCCAGGGAACCTCTGGAGAAGGTGCAGAGATCCCATCCCAGCCAGCAAACCCTGGGATGCTCCTCCCAGGCTCTGGGAGCCGTCCCCAGGGTGGTCCCAACGTCCATCCCTGCCCGGTGAGGAGGTCCCGGGATCGGGGGGTCAGTGCCGCAGGGCTGGGGGGTTTCACCCCCCTCGAGGGGTCCCAAAATTGGAGGGGGGCTGTGGGCACAGTCTGGGCTCGGGGCTCTCCGTGGTCCCGTCCCGTTGGATTCGGGAATGTCCCTTCCAGGAGTCCAGGCCCGCCCAGGGCCTCGGGAGCGAGGGGGACAAACGGGATCGGGGTCTTCGGGGGCTCCGGCCACGCCGGGGACCGTCCCCAAGTGTCACTGGTTCATGGGCTCCTCCTGCTCCATGGGCTCCTCCTGTGCCCTGCGAGGGAACCCGACACGTGAGAGGCCACATCCCGCTCCTGCGGGGACACGGGGACACAGGGACACAAGGGAGGGACAGGAGGGGACCCTGCTGGCAGAGCTGACAACCCCACCCCCAGGCACGAGGGTTTGGTTGGGTTTCCATTCAGAAGAGCCCAGCTCAGGGTGCCCAACAGGGTTTGGTTGGGTTTTCCCTTGAGAAGAGCTCAGCTCGGGGTTCCCAGCCGGGTTTGGTTGGGTTTTCCCTTGAGAAGAGCTCAGCTCGGGGTTCCCAGCCGGGTTTGGTTGGGTTTTCCCTTGAGAAGAGCTCAGCTCGGGGTTCCCAGCCGGGTTTGGTTGGGTTTTCCCTTGAGAAGAGCTCAGCTCGGGGTTCCCAGCCGGGTTTGGTTGGGTTTTCCCTTGAGAAGAGCTCAGCTCGGGGTTCCCAGCCGGGTTTGGTTGGGTTTTCCCTTGAGAAGAGCTCAGCTCGGGGTTCCCAGCCGGGTTTGGTTGGGTTTTCCCTTGAGAAGAGCTCAGCTCGGGGTTCCCAGCCGGGTTTGGTTGGGTTTTCCCTTGAGAAGAGCTCAGCTCGGGGTTCCCAGCCGGGTTTGGTTGGGTTTTCCCTTGAGAAGAGCTCAGCTCGGGGTTCCCAGCCGGGTTTGGTTGGGTTTTCCCTTGAGAAGAGCTCAGCTCGGGGTTCCCAGCCGGGTTTGGTTGGGTTTTCCCTTGAGAAGAGCTCAGCTCGGGGTTCCCAGCCGGGTTTGGTTGGGTTTTCCCTTGAGAAGAGCTCAGCTCGGGGTTCCCAGCCGGGTTTGGTTGGGTTTTCCCTTGAGAAGAGCTCAGCTCGGGGTTCCCAGCCGGGTTTGGTTGGGTTTTCCCTTGAGAAGAGCTCAGCTCGGGGTTCCCAGCCGGGTTTGGTTGGGTTTTCCCTTGAGAAGAGCTCAGCTCGGGGTTCCCAGCCGGGTTTGGTTGGGTTTTCCCTTGAGAAGAGCTCAGCTCGGGGTTCCCAGCCGGGTTTGGTTGGGTTTTCCTTTGGGAGGAAGTTTTCCTCAGGGTTCCCAGCAGGGTTTGGTCTGGTTTTCCTTTGGTTTGGGGTTCCCAGGAGCCCAGAGCCTCATCCAGGGTGGGGACACAGCCCTGCCCTGCTGCCACCCCCCCGGCACAGGGCGATCCCGGCAATGTCACCTCTTCTCCACCATCACGGCCACCGAGAGGGACGCCAGGGCCGTCACCGTCTCCACCTCGTCGGCCTCGTGGTGCTGAGCCTCGAGGAAGGAGCAGCCCAGCTTGGAGGCGAAGCGCTGCACGGCCACCCAGTATCTGCCTGTGGGAGGGGACAACGGGGCTGGGGACACCAGGACAGGGGCTGGCCCGGGACAGGGACAGCCTGGGACAGCCCAGGACAGGGATAGCCCAGGACAGGGATAGCCCAGCTCAGTGGTGTCCCAGGTTAGGGATGTCCCAGGTCAGGGGTGGCCCAGGTTAGGGGTGTCCCAGGACAGGGGTGGCCCAGATCAGGGATAGCCAAGGGCAGGGGTGGCCCAGGTCAGGGATAACCCAGGACAAGGATAGCCCAGGACAGGGGTGTCCCAGGTCAGGGATGTCCCAGGTCAGGGTGGCCCAGGTCAGGGTGGCCCAGGTCAGGGTGGCCCAGGTCAGGGTGGCCCAGGTCAGGGTGGCCCAGGTCAGGGTGGCCCAGGTCAGGGTGGCCCAGGTCAGGGTGGCCCAGGTCAGGGTGGCCCAGGTCAGGGTGGCCCAGGTCAGGGTGGCCCAGGTCAGGGTGGCCCAGGTCAGGGTGGCCCAGGTCAGGGTGGCCCAGGTCAGGGTGGCCCAGGTCAGGGTGGCCCAGGTCAGGGTGGCCCAGGTCAGGGTGGCCCAGGTCAGGGTGGCCCAGGTCAGGGTGGCCCAGGTCAGGGTGGCCCAGGTCAGGGTGGCCCAGGTCAGGGTGGCCCAGGTCAGGGTGGCCCAGGTCAGGGTGGCCCAGGTTTCCACTCACTCTGGACCTGGATCACGGCCTCCAGGGAGCGCACGGCGTTGGCGTTGGGCTTCTGCCTCAGGCTGTCCTCGGGGAGTGGCTCCGGCTGCGGGGACAGGAGGGGACACGGGGGGACACGGGGGGGAGTTCATGGTGGCGGTGGCACCGGGGGACATGGGGGGGTTCAGCCGTGCCAGGGCTGGGGTGGCACAGGGTCGGTGCCAGTCTCACCTCGTGGCCCAGCAGGGCGGACACGCAGGCCTCGGACGCGTCACAAATGGCCGTGAGGTCGTGTCCCCCCTCCAGTGCCAGCACCACGGCCCCCCCTGCCAGGCTCATCAGCTGCTTGGTCATGTAGCCAAAACCTGTGGGACCCCCAGCAATGTCACCTCCCCCTGCCCGAACCCTTGGGACACCCAGGAATGTCACCTCCTCCTGCCCAAACCTGTGGGACACCCAGCAATGTCACCTCCCCCTGCCCAAACCTGTGGGACACCCAGCAATGTCACCTCCCCCTGCCCAAACCTGTGGGACCCCCAGCAATGTCACCTCCCCCTGCCCAAACCTGTGGGACCCCCAGCAATGTCACCTCCCCCTGCCCAAACCCAACCCCAAAATCTCCTGTGGCTCCCCCAGGAGTGGCCGCCCCTTCCCGGGGGTTCCAGCCGGGGTGGGAGGGGGACACCCTGTCCCCAAGGGGGGACACTCCACCCCAAGGGGGACACCCCACCCCGAGCCACCTCCTTACACTTGGCAGAGACTTTGTAGCCCCCCAGGGGGGGCGGGTGGCCCTCGGCTGCGTCGAAGCCGGCCGACACCAGCACCACGTCGGGGCAGAACTCGTGGGCAATGGGCATCACCACGGTCCTGGGGAGAGGGGAGGGGGAGTGGGGTCAGTCCCACACAAGGGATGGGGAGTGGGGTCAGCCCCACAAAGGGAAAAAGGGGATGGGGAGTGGGGTCAGCCCCACAAAAGGAAAAAGGGGATGGGGAGTGGGGTCAGCCCGATAAAGGGGATGGGGAGTGGGGTCAGCCTCACAAAAGGAAAAAGGGGATGGGGAGTGGGGTCAGTCCCACACAAGGGATGGGGAGTGGGGTCAGCCCCACAAAGGGAAAAAGGGGATGGGGAGTGGGGTCAGCCCCACAAAAGGAAAAAGGGGATGGGGAGTGGGGTCAGCCCGATAAAGGGGATGGGGAGTGGGGTCAGCCCCACACAGGGGATGGGGAGTGGGGTCAGCCCCACACAGGGGATGAGGAACGGGGTCAGCCCCACCCAGAGCATGGCACAGGGGCATGGGGACAGTACCTGAAGGCAGCCAGGTACTCGGGGTCCCCCATGGGGGGGTCGAGCCCTCCAGCCCAGGCCACGTTGACGTTGAAGCCCTCGCCGGGGCCAGCGCCCACCTGTGAGGGAGCAAGGACAGGGTGAGGCTCGGGGGGAGCCAGGTGGGGGTCCCAGCCCCGTGTTCTGTGCCATGGGAAGCAGTTTGGGGGTCCCAGCCCCTGTTCGGTACCATGGGAGGATGTTTGGGGGTCCCAGTCCCCTGTTCTGTACCATGGGAAGCACTTTGGGGGTCCTGGTCCCCCTGCCTGGTGCCACAGGGGGGTCAGGACTTTCCATCCGTCTCCATCCCTGTGCTGGGTGGCCCAGGCAGGGTCAGGGCTGGGAAAGGAGCCCCCGGGGCGCTGTCCCTGCTCAGCCCCCGTGCCCTGCTGTGCCATCCTGTGTCCTGCTGTGCCCTGCTGTGCCATCCTGTGCCCTCCTGTGCCCTCCTGTGCCCCGCTGTGCCCTGCTGTGCCCTCCTGTGCCCCGCTGTGCCCTGCTGTCCCCTCGGTCCCCGGGGTCCCCTCCCACCTCGTCGGCGGCGCCGCTGCCCGGGAAGAAGTTGCCGTCGTCGTGGCGGTGCAGGGAGATGTAGAGAACCTCGGGGTCCCTGTAGAAAATCTGCTGGGTCCCGTTGCCGTGGTGAACGTCCTGCAGGGACATCCAGAGAGGATTTTGGCAGCTGCTGGGCGGCCCCAGAACCTCACGGAGCCCAAAGGTCCCCCAGCCCGGGATCTGCTCCTGCTCCCCAGTCCTGAGCACACTGCGGGGTTCCAACCATGTTCCCACAAGAGCTGGAGCAGGAACCGCCCCTGGGGACGTCCTGGGGACATCTTGGGGACATCCTGGGGACGGGGGGACTCACCCAGTCCACGATGAGGATCTTGCTGAGCTTCCCCTTCTGCTGCAGCTGCCTGGCAGCGATGGCCACCGAGTTAAAGAAGCAGAATCCCCTGGGAAGAGGGGTGGGAGTCACCTCCGGGCTCTTTTTTGGGGGTGGCTTTGAGCCCCGGAGCTGCTTTTGGGGCTCCCCAGGTGCCGGGGGGGGAGGGAGGGGCCTTACATGGCCGTGGAAGGATCCGCGTGATGTCCGGGCGGCCGCACCACGGCGAAGCCGTTCTGGGGACAGAGCAGAGGCCGGGGGTCAGAGCTGCCAGCCCAGGGTGGCAACACACACATACACACAGACACACACCCCGTGTGCCCAGTGCCACACAGCCCTGGGACCCCTGGGAATGGGGGACACAGCCATGGGACACCTGGGAATGGGGGGCACAGCCCTGGGACCCCTGGGAATGGGGGACACAGCCATGGGACACCTGGGAATGGGGGATACAGCCAGGGGACCCCTGGGAATGGGGGACACAGCCCTGGGACACCTGGGAATGGGGGGCACAGCCCTGGGACCCCTGGGAATGGGGGGCACGGCCCTGGGACACCTGGGAATGGGGGGCACAGCCCTGGGACCCCTGGGAATGGGGGACACAGCCATGGGACCACCAGGAATGGGGGATACAGCCAGGGGACCCCCAGGAATGGAGGACACAGCCATGGGACCGCCAGAAAATGGGGGGCACAGCCCTGGGACCCCTGGGAATGGGAGACACAGCCATGGGCCCCCCAGGAACAGGGGGCACAGCCCTGGGACCCCTGGGAATGGGGGACACAGCCCTGGGACACCAGGGAATGGGAGACACAGCCATGGGCCCCCCAGGAACAGGGGGCACAGCCCTGGGACCCCTGGGAATGGGGGACACAGCCCTGGGACACCAGGGAATGGGAGACACAGCCATGGGCCCCCCAGGAACAGGGGGCACAGCCCTGGGACCACCAGGAATGGAGAACATAGCCATGGGACCACCAGGAACGGGGGGCACAGCCCTGGGACCCCCTAGGCACAGCCATGGGACCCCCAGGAATGGGGGACACAGCCCTGGGACACCTGGGAATGGAGGACACAGCCATGGGACCCCCAGGAATGGGGGACACAGCCCTGGGACACCTGGGAATGGGAGACACAGCCATGGGACCCCCAGGAACAGGGGGCACAGCCCTGGGACCCCCCAGGCCAGCCCCTACCTTCAGCTCCCTGGTGGCCACCTTGAAGGCCAGCTCGGTGACGCTGCCCGCGGCCCAGCGCGCGGCGTTGGACGAGTGCAGCTCGTTCCAGATGGTGTCACTGTCCACCTGCAGGGGGGACAGCGGTCACGCGGGGACACAGCACCAGGGGACAGGAGCCACACCCTCACCCGGGTGTCCTGTGCCAGCCCAAGGTGACACCGGCCACCCCACACTGTCCCCCCCCAGCCCAGCCCCCTCCTTTACCTGATTTATCCCATTTTAGTGTTTAACCAAACACCTCGCTTTGATTTCAGCACCACCTCAGAGCCGGAAAAGTCAAAAAATCTCTTCTGCCGGGGGCCAGGTGTGAGCTCCCCGTGCCCCCCGGGGGGGAACTGAGCAGGGAAAGGAGGCAGAGCAGGGAAAGCAGAGCTGGTGCCCAGCACGGGGGGCAAGGAGAGGAGCAGAACCAGAAGAGGCAGCAGGAGGGCACCGAGGGAGCCCCTTCCTGAAAGAGAGAGAGAGACAGGACAGGGACAGGACAGGGACAGGGACAGGGACAGGGACAGGGACAGGGACAGGACAGGGACAGGGACAGGGACAGGACAGGACAGGGACAGGACAGGGACAGGAGGAGAGGAGAAAGCAGTGAATGCAGAGAAACCAGGAGGGAAAGCTGGGAATGGAGAGGCCTCGGAAGGGACGAGCTGCTGTCCCCGTGTCACTGCTGCCCTCCCTCAGTGGGGACCCCCTCCTGCCAGCCCCTTGGGGGGCTCTGGATCGAGGAGCCCCTTGCAGAGGGGGATGCTCAGACATCCCCAAGGAGCCCGAGCTGCTCTGGTCCAACATCTCCATCAAACATCCCCACCCAGGCAGCCCAGAGGCTTCGGGAGCTGCCCCGAGATCCTGAGGGGCCAAAATGGAACGGCCCTGGCCAAAGGGCAGAGCAGGGGTGGGGCAGTGACCCCAAAACCCAGAGCAGGGGTGGGGCAGTGACCCCAAAACCCGGAGCAGGGATGGGGCAGTGACCCCAAAACCCAGAGCAGGGGTGGGGCAGTGAGCCCAAAACCCAGAGCAGGGGTGGGGCAGTGACCCCAAAACCACGAGCAGGGATGGGGCAGTGACCCCAAAACCCAGAGCAGAGGTGGAACAGTGACCCCAAAACCCAGAGCAGGGGTGGGGCAGTGACCCCAAAACCCGGAGCAGGGATGGGGCAGTGACCCCAAAACCCAGAGCAGGGGTGGGGCAGTGAGCCCAAAACCCAGAGCAGGGGTGGGGCAGTGACCCCAAAACCACGAGCAGGGATGGGGCAGTGACCCCAAAACCCAGAGCAGAGGTGGAACAGTGACCCCAAAACCCAGAGCAGGGATGGGGCAGTGACCCCAAAACCTGGATCAGGGGTGGAACAGCGACCCCAAAACCCAGAGCAGGGGTGGAACAGTGACCCCAAAACCAAGAGCATGGATGGAGCAATGACCCCAGAACCAGGAGCAGGGATTCAGCAGTGACCCCAAAACCAGGAGCAGGGATTCAGCAGTGACCCCAAAACCCGGGTCAGGGGTGGAGCACTCACCCCCACCCCTCCGCAGGGCAGCATCACAAACGTCCTCTGGGACAGGATCCCTGTGGAGAGAGGGACCAGCGGGGACTCAGGGCTGGACAAGCAGCACCAGGCTGGGCCCAGCACCCCGGGGAGCTGCTGGGAGCCATCCCCAGCCCCAGGGGACAGGTGACAGGGTGGCAGGGGGGGTGGGGACCCACCTGCCAGCTTGCCGTTGTCCAGTTTGAGGCGGTTGAGGGGGTTGGTGCCGTAGAGCAGCACGTGGCGCTCGCTGTGCACGCACTGCAGCTCCTCCAGGGTGGCCTTGCGGCCCCGCAGGCACTGGGGGACACGGCTGTCACCGGGGGGGACACGCGGGGGATCCCCCCCACCCCGTCCTGCTGTCCAGGACCCCCGGGGATGGAACTTGAGCAGCCCCAAATTGCAGTCAGGGAGCCAGGGCCAGCCCTAGGCTGGGTTTTACTAAGCTGGGCCTGGTAAAACTCGCTGGTTTGGGGGGATCAGCCCCTGCCTGTGGCCAGCAGAGCCCAAATCCCAGGGGGAGATGGGGAGAGCAGGGGACTCAGCAAGGAAATGGGGACAAACGGGGGGAGGGGGGTGGAATGGAATGGGATCAGTGGGATCAGGAGGGGTGGGATGGGGTCGGGAGGGGTGGGATTGGTTCAGGAGGGGTGGAATGGGATCAGGAGGGATTGGGTGGGATCAGGAAGGATGGAATGGGATCGGGAAGGATGGAATGGGATCAGGAGGGATCAGGAAGGATGGGATCAGTGGGATCAGGAGGGATGGAATGGGGTCAGGAGGAATGGGATGGGATCGGGAGGGGTGGAATGGGATCAGAAGGGATAGAATGGGATCAAGAGGGATCAGGTGGGATCAGTGGGATCAGGAGGGGTGGGATGAGATCAGGAGGGATCGGGTGGGGTCAGGAGGTACAGGGTGGGATCGGAAGGAATGGGATGGGATCAGGAGGGATGGAACAGGATCAGGAGGGATCGGGTGGGATCAGGAAGGATGGAATGGGGTCAGGAGGTACGGGATGGGGTCAGGAGGGGTGGAATGTGATCGGGAGGGGTGGAATGGGATCGGGAAAGGTGGGATGGGATCGGGAGGAATGGGATGGGGCTGGCAGGGACGGAGGCGGGCCCGGCCCCTCCCAGCTCACCTCGCAGCGGCTGCGCAGGCCCCGCTCCTGCAGGCGGGACCAGATGCTCTGGATCCTGCCGGCGTGCTCGGGGTGGTTGCTGTTGTCCCCGCAGGAGCACTGGTGCTTCAGCATCACCGAGTCGTAAACCAGCCCTGCCAGGCAGCGCCAGAGCCGCACCCTCAGCTCCTCTGCAGGGCCTCCGAGAGCCCAGATATTGACCAAAATCCCCCCAAACCACGGGAGATTCTGTCGCAAACCACAGGAGATTCTGTCCCAAACCATGGGAGATTCTGCCCCAAACCACGGGAGATTCTGTCCCCAAACCACAGGAAATTCTGTCCCAAACCTGGGAGATTCTGTCCCCAAACCTGGGAGATTCTGCCCCAAAACACAGGAATGCAGCCAGGGGTCAGGTGGGCAAACCCTACCTAGAACAGGCCCCCCAGATAAGGAGAAGGAGCCCCCCAGCTCTCTCCTGGCGCTCCCAAGTCCAGGAATGACCCAGATCCATGTGGAGCCACCCCAGGACATCCGCAGGTCCCCTCCTGTCCCCGCCCAGCGGTGACAGCCCCGCAGGGTGACCGTACCTGTGGTGAAGTGTGGCTTGGGCGGCTGTTCCTGCACGGGCAGGGCCAGCGCCTTGGTGTCCTGGGCAGGGAGGGACACGGTGGCCGTGGCTGGGGACGACTGAGCCCTGGACAGCGGCCGGTGGCCGGGGGGGAGCACGGGGGGGTCGGCCAAGGGCTGGCGCTTGAGGAGCTGCTGCTGCACCCGCTGGAAGGAGTCCCACAGGAAGGCCTGGGGACACAGGACACCGTCAGGGGACAGGCCAGCCTCCCCAGCACGGGGGACAGGGGACAGAGCCCCGCGTGGTGTGTCCAGGGCCGCATCCAGCGGCTGCTCCGGCCTCGGAGTCGGGACAGGATGGGACAAGGCAGGACAGGGCAAAACAGGACAGGAGGGGACAGGACAAGGTAGGACAGGCAGGACAGGACAGGAGGGGACAGGACGAGCAGGACAGGATGGGACAGGATGGGACAAGGCAGGACAGGACAGGAGGGGACAGGACAAGCAGGACAGGGCAAAACAGGACAGGAGGGGACAGGACAAGGCAGAACAGGAGGGGACAGGACAAGCAGGACAGGATGGGACAGGACAGGAGGGGACAGGACAGGACAGGACAAGAAGGACAGGGCAAAACAGGACAGGAGGGGACAGGACAAGCAGGACAGGATGGGACAGGACAGGAGGGGACAGTACAGGACAAGCAGGACAGGCAGGACAGGACAGGAGGGGACAGGACAAGGCAGGACAAGCAGGACAGGATGGGAGAGGACAAGAAGGACAAGGCAGGACAAGACAGGATAGACAGGACAGGACAAGCAGGACAGGACAGGACAGGACAGGACTGTCCCAGCATCTGCTGCTCCCTGCCGGCTCAGCCCCGCAGTGACAACAGCGATGGGACAGAGCCGGCAATTCGGGAAAAACCCGACAATTCGGGAAAAACCCGACAATTTGGGGAAAAGCCGGAAAATTTGAGGACAAAGCCCGGCAATTCGGGGGCAAAGCCCGGCAATTCGGGGACAACACCCAGCTGTGTGACACCGGCGGTGGCCGCAGCTCTGCCCCCGTCCCTGCGAGCTGCACAGCCCGGTCCCTCCCGGTCCCTCCCGTACCTGCTGCAGGACCAGCTCCTCCGGGGGCTGCCCCATCTTCTGCGTCCTCTCGGGCTCCTTCCCGCTGCTGCCGGGCCGGGGGGGCTCCAGCCGCGCCCTGCTGGGGTCCCCCTCCGGCAGGGTCCCCTCCGGGAGGGTCCCCTCGGCCTCCATGTCCTCCGAGGACGGGATCTGCCGCAGCCGGGGCTTCTCGCTGGACTTGGCCATGCGCTGCAGCCGAGGGGACAGCGAGCAGCGGCGTGAAAAAGGCATTTCTAGAAAGTTCTTCACGTCTAACGAAATGCTTGCATGGTATATAATTGTATATAAACTTATATTTGTGTGTATATATATATATGTGTGTACGTAAATATATATGTGTGTATATATAAACATATTTTTTAATATATTTGTACGTAAGGAGATTAAAACTGCTGACTTAGAAATGTTGTAGAATAAGAAATACTGTCGAGAGAAAACTAAACTAAAAACAAGCTTTAAAAGATAGCTATATGATCTATTAATAATATATAAAAATTATATATGATGTGTAATATAGTCTATATTGTATGTAAGATGTAATAAATACTATATGCTATGTAATATATAATATATGATATACAATATCATATATAATATACCATATACCATATATATACAATATATAATATGTAATATACCACATGCCATATACCATATATATAATATATAATAGATCATATATCATATACCATATACCATATACCATATATATACAATATATAATATGTAATATACCACATGCCATATACCATATATATAATATATAATAGATCATATATCATATACCATATACCATATACCATATATATACAATATATAACCATATACCATATAGCATATATGTACAATATATCATATATCATATATCATATATGATATATCGTATTGTATATACTATATAATATATGAGAATAATGATAAATTGTCGAATTATATTATTAATATAAATGTTGCTACCATAATATAAAATGTAAAGATGTTAAATATCTTTTAAATTATATTTTTCAAGTAAAAAATTAAACATAGAAATAACAAATAATATAAATATTAATCATGATAATTTATCGGTTTATATTATTAATATAAATATTACTACCATAATATAAAATGTAAAGATGTCAAATATTTTTTTAATGTATTTTAAAAAATTAAAACTAAAAATAATAAAACCCCCATAAATAATACAAAGACTATAAATATCAGTAACAATACGTTATTTTATATTAATAATAAAAATATAAAATATTTCTTTATATTATATATACTGTCACTGCCACTGTCACTGTCACTCACTGTCACTGTCACTATCACTGCACTGTCACTGTCACTGTCACTGTCATTGTCACTGTCACTCACTGCCACTGTCACTGTCACTGTCACTGTCATTGTCACTGTCACTCACTGCCACTGTCACTGTCACTGTCACTGTCATTGTCACTGTCACTCACTGCCACTGTCACTGTCACTGTCACTGTCATTGTCACTGTCACTCACTGCCACTGTCACTGTCACTGTCACTGTCATTGTCACTGTCACTCACTGCCACTGTCACTGTCACTGTCACTGTCATTGTCACTGTCACTCACTGCCACTGTCACTGTCACTGTCACTGTCATTGTCACTGTCACTCACTGCCACTGTCACTGTCACTGTCACTGTCATTGTCACTGTCACTCACTGCCACTGTCACTGTCACTGTCACTGTCATTGTCACTGTCACTCACTGCCACTGTCACTGTCACTGTCACTGTCATTGTCACTGTCACTCACTGCCACTGTCACTGTCACTGTCACTGTCATTGTCACTGTCACTCACTGCCACTGTCACTGTCACTGTCACTGTCATTGTCTCTGCCTCTGTCACTGCACTGCCACTGCCACTGCCACTATCACTGTCACTGCACTGTCACTGTCATTGCACTGCCATTGTCACTGTCACTGCCATTGTCACTATCACTGCCACTGTCACTGCCACTGTCACTGTCACTGCACTGTCACTGTCATTGCACTGTCACTGCCACTGTCATTGTCACTATCACTGTCACTGCCACTGTCACTGCCACTGCTGCTGTCACTGCCGCTGTCACCGCACTGCCACTGCCACGGTCCCCATGTCCCCAGGCGGACACTCACCCGCCACCAGCGGCGCGTGGGTGACCGAGGGCTCGAGGATGATGACGGGCTGCAGGCGCGGGGACAGGGGGCTGCCGGGCTCGCGCTGCTCCAGGCCGGCCGGGATGAAGACGGGCGGGTGCGCGCCCGGCAGCACCGGCCCGTTGAGCACCGGCACCCGGTGAGCCAGGCCGGGCAGCGCCCGGCGCTCCGCATCGGCCTGCAGGGACAGGGACCGGTGGGATGGGACGGGACAGGGGTGGGACAGGGACGGGACAGGGGTGGGACAGGGACGGGACAGGGGTGGGACAGGGATGGGATGGGATGGGATGGGACAGGGATGGGGCAGGGATGGGCTTGGGGTGGGA